CTTCTCGCGTTAGCCCTTCTAATCAATCTTAGCTAAAACAGTGATGAGCAGATTATTTAAAATAGTGATGATAAATGAACACATATGTATGATTGAAGGCATGCCGAGAGCGCGGTGTTGTCAGAGCTGGGGTATCTGTCGATGGAAAAGGCAGACATGCTGCGCACAGACATTTCCTTTGACGATATGGAAAAGTCCCGCTCTCGGTTGCGCGAGTTGGTGCGTGTAATGCCATCCCACTTCCTTCATTGTTGTCGATTGATCGCTGTGTGTCCTGTTGGTGTGCAGGCTGCGATGATGGTGCGATACACGCTGAGTATGAGCAGCAATGACTGTGGAGGTCGATCGGAGTACACGGTATGCACTGTCGTGCGTGTCGTGCTTACGCCGTGGATCTAATCTACGCGGTTGGCAGCACTTCTTCTCTGATCTTCGTCATGTGCTGGGCACGCCCTTGGCCAAGCAAGAAATCCGCAAACAGATCGGCGTCGTGCTCGGTATCGTGGAGTCGCAATACATGGAGGTATGCGCCGACACACATTATACACACGAACACACGATCGGGCGCATGCACAGGAACACACACACACACGCACACACAATGCTAATTTAAATCAACCACTCAGGAACAAAAGAAGATCAAGAGAAGAGAGATGGTGGCGCAAATGGAGCAGCGCGTACGCAAGAAACAGGCTGACAAGAGAAAGGAGACCAAACGACGTCGGTAGAGCCATCTCTCTCCCTCGACATGCATAGTCACCAAAAACGGCCTTGCATGCACCTGATGTCGTGTGTCGTATGTTAGCTTTGAGATCGCTTTTGCCGCCATCACGGCCATCACGCTGCCGGTACTCATAGTGGCTAATCTTTTTGGGTATGTCAAGTCGAGAAGGCATTCTCGCTTAGGCTTTACTGACACCAGCGCCACACGACCACATGTACAACACACTCATACGCGCACACCACATAGAATGAATGTGCCATACCTACCAGAATGGGACTTCTGGCCGTTGGCGGGCGGCATTATCAGCATCAGCTTGCTGGTGGTGGTCCTTCTGCTCGTGTTGTGGTGGTTCGCCTTCCGCAACAAGAGCAAGGCCAAGGCCAAGAACAAACAGCTCAAGGTATGCACATTCCACGTCACGGTCGCGTCCTCCCTCCCCCCGAACATCAACCGCATGCTGGACAAACAAAACCGCAGGAGAGCCTTTCGAAACTGCCACGCAAAGGCACACAGCTGGTACGCAAGAGCATGGAGTGGAACA